ATGCTAAAGTTTATCTAGAATAACCAAGGGCCGAGAATAGGCAAGACATTTCTGAAGACAAATAAGAACAGGGTGGGAGGAAACTCTCTCAGATATCAGAACTAATTATAATGCTGTAGTTCAAACTAATTACTAATGTGGGGGGAATGCAAATTGAAACCACGGTGATTCGATGCTTAAAAATGGCAAAAATAAAAGTCGATATCGCTAAAGGATGGCAAGGATGCTGAGCAACAGGAATGCTACACATGCTGCTGGTGAAGGGAGTGCTAATACAGTAGGATCCCTAATGAAAGTAATTTGACAATATGTCGTAAAATTGAAGACACCGCATCTTTGGCCTTGTACTTCTCCATTTTTCATCTACATCTGCTAGGTAACATGGAAGATGATGCTAATAGAAGCATTTCTGTGATAGCACACAATAAGGTTTAAGACAAATGCCTGTCAGCAGCGTAACAGGCCAAAAAACCATTGCATGTTAATTCAGTGGTGTATGATACAGCAGTGAAAATAAACGCACGCCAATATCAATCGAATTCACAAGTATAATTTTAAGTGAAAATGGGCATTTTGTGCAAACTAAATATAGGGTTTTTCTAAAATTTTTAAAAACGAGAATTTATTTTACTTAAGGATTCTATGCGGTATAATTAGAAATGAATACGAGTACCTGACCAACACAAAAGGCAGGATAGTGGTGGCCTCTTGGTAACACGCAGGAGGACATCAAGCGAGGAGCACACAGGGCTTCTGCATTGGTTCTACTTTGTTAACCTGGTGGTGGGTACAAGGGTGCTTTTATGCCCTTGCTTTATAACCTGCATGTATGTCACATTATTTTATATGTATTGAGTTTTTCCTAACTTGAAAAATAAAAGGAATCATCAGGTTCAGCTATATTCCTTTTCCCAGACCATTATCAGCTGGATTTATTAAGTAACAACTCAGCTTTTCCCACCAATGTGCTTAAAATATGCTGCTTCCTTGCCCTTAAAAGTTGTCTGCTTGCTCATCAATTTATGTAAAATGGGAAGGCTCCCTTTGAAACCTGGTTCAAGTCTCACCTCAAGTATCCATGACCTTCCAATACTTTAATTTTTTCATCTTTAACATTGGGGTGATAGTCCCCAGCTCACAAAGCTGTTGTAAAGATCATACATATACATTTACATATCTTACTGAAACCAGTGTTAACAGTTATCTCTCCATGCAGCTTTTTTCACCAAACAGGTGTTGAACATATGCTGTGTTATAAATGCTGTAGGGGCTACAAAATGAATAGGACATAATGCTTCTCTTCAAGGAGCTAGATGTACTCACACACAACTAGATGATGCTGCATGAGGGATGTAACTGTGGAGTATAAACAATGTTAAAGAACTTCATAGGAGAAGAGAATTAGTTCTGTAAATGCAAGAAAAGCTTCAAAGAGGTGGTGGCATATAAGATGAGCCTCAAAAGATTTTTTTTTTCAGTTTGTGCTCGTGCACGCAGAGCTCCTCTTGACCTTGCCCACTTACTAGTAAATGCTCTAAGTATTTCAGGTGAGTCACAACACCCCCATTAAAATGGGCTGTTGCCGTGAAAGACTCATCCATTCCATACCCTAGCCTCCCTCACTCCCTGTTCCATACAGTGGAAGCCATCCACTGTTGCCTGTTTTAGTGGATGGACGTTAGTATCGCAAGGACGTGAAATCATCTTTGGTTATTGCAGACAGGATAAACAGATTCCATTTTACCCTTGTCTAGACTTGGGCAAAGTAAGTGACCTGAAAATTCCACATAAATATTTTTTTGGAATGTTATGTCCCCATGAATCATTTGGCTTAATTAGACTGGTCATTTTGTATCCACTTTTTATGTGACCAAGAGAACCAATATCTGACAAATTTACTGACCCGGAGAGAAACTTCTGGGAAAGAAGCTAATACTTACTGGACACAGGTCCAGCAAGCCACAATGCTAATTTTTCTACTTCTGAATGATGCAATCACCGCTACAGGTTTAGAAGCATCTTAAAACCTTCTAGTTCATTAAAATCTTTGGAGACTTAATGCTTTTGAATTCCCAGCATAATGTAAGCTGTTTTTAATAATAGAAATTTAATAGAGACAAGGGAAAGCCTGTGTGTAGCTTCTCTGGATATTCTTCTCGAAAGCCCAGTTTTGTTAGAATTTCTTTTCTGAACAGTGGGGGTCTGTTTTCTTGCCTTCTAGAATGATTGTTTTAAGACATTAGGACATGCATCACCCTTCTTTATCCTCCAGCAGTCTCTTAGACAAAAAACAAATCTGAAGCTCTTTCTGGGGCTTGCCAGACCAACACATAATCTGCCCTCATCCACTGTCTCTCTTCCCCTCATGCAGTGACCCAGCCACACTGGCCGTCTTGCTGATCCTTGAACTTACTATGCATGTTCCCAAATGCTGGGGCCTTCACACTCCCCTTCTCTGTCAGAATTAGTCTTGCTTAGATTTTTATAGAGCTCTTTTTCTTATTTCACACAGATTTCTGCTGAAATCTGCTCAAATGCTACATCTTCAAAGAGCCTTTTTGTAGTCATCCTATTTAAAGTAAAATTCCTATTGATCTCCATACCTAACTCTGCCAGATGTTTCTTCACAGAATATGTCACTATCTGGCATTATTGATCTTCTATTTTTATGCATATTCTCTTCTTTCTCTTGAATGTAATCTCTGGGAGAAATGGGGCTTTGTATCCTGGTGTTTGGTACATATTGGTATTCAGTAGATATTCATTGACTGAATGAAGGAAGAAGCTTACATTTCTGTTGCCCAGAAGAGATAGTGTTAAAAGAAGACCGAGGCTTCATGGTGGAACCCAGAGTGGTACAAGACAGAGGTGGTATGAATGTCTATAGAGAATACACAGAACTTGACGTCAGAAGATCTGGGGCCTTCTTTATTAGGCACGTGACTTTGGATGGGTCTGAGTGTGGATTTCCTCTGACCAAATGGATTAAAATAAAGTTGATGGGATCAAAGGAGAGAAGTGGTAAGTTTTCATAAACCTTAAAATCTTAATACAATTATTGCCATCTCTGTGGGCCAATATTCAAATATTACAAAAGCAAACCCAGCTGTTCGAATTAAAATTCCCCACTTTCAGGGCTGGAAAACTCTCCTAAACATCTAATGACCTTCTAGTCATTTTGAAATGGAAAACTTAAATACAATGAAACAAAAAATGAGTTGAAAGGCTATTACGAAACAACAAAATGTAATATTTCCATATGTGCATGTACACAAATGCAATTATGAGCATTGCTTTCTTGTCTCTTAAATTTCAGTCTTTATAAAATTAGCTAGGATTTTCATATCAGTTCTTTCTCTGAGGAATAAGTAGATAAGCTAATCTCAGCTGGTTACAGATTTTAATTTCATAATATACTCAGTCATCCCTTAGATACCATCTTTATGAGTCATTTTGTATAGATAAAACAGTAAAAGCCAGCTTCAAATTAGGCTGTTTAAATTCCCTTTTTCTAATAAGGAAATCCTTGCTGTTGTATGATAAGTACTAAAAAGCATTAGTAAAAAGCTAAATTCCTAAGAGATTTAGGGTAAAACAAAGACTTTAAGTATTAATAGTCAAATAAATAAACGAGGGCTGGATTTTCTAGTTCACTGACATACTCTTTTAGGTGAGGGCCTCTTTTGATATATTAGCCTTATTTTCTTTTGGCCGATATTATTGCCATATTATTGGGATAGTCCATGCATAATGAAACTATTAACATGTGCATGTTGAGGCCCAGGTATAATTTGTGTCTCTGTTTACTTCAGAGAGGTGGAGGGTGGTTTTATTAAAATAATATCTGTATGTATTAGAGATGAAAAGTACATGCTAAATAGCCCCTGTGGACAGAAACCAACTGTTTGTTTTGCAGGGCAGGATGTCAGTCATATACACTGCCTCCATTCAGTGAGAGAGCCTTCTGTTGCTCCGGCCTTCTTTCCTGTCTCTATTCTGTGCACAGAGTTAGTTCGTTGAATAGAGTCTCAGAGAAGTGGAGGGCCCTATTCGGAAAGGGCCCTATTCGGAATTAGTAGCACTAATTCATTACCCGAGGAGAGTTCCTGATCCTTAGTCAGGGCCAGGCTCAGATATTACCTCCTAATGACATCTTCCCTCGTGGTCTTCTCCCTTATGTTCCAGAAGTCTGTGTTTCTGTCCCTCTGTACAATTGTCTACTGTGTCATGTATCACATAAAATAATATTAATCACATATGTATAAGTATTCCCAATACTCTGAGTTTCTCCTAGTCAGCTCTGTATCTGTAAGCCTAGCACAGAGCCTGGCCGATAGTGGGCGCTGACTGTGTCTTTCCAGAACAAATAATTTCGTGCAGGTGCTATTCACCACTGACCTCCCTGAGAAGGACTGAAAGTGTACACAGTCTGGCCAAAGTTGAGATGAGATGATCCCAGCTTTTTCTTTGGAATGCCAAAATGTAAAGGGTGTGGACATTGTTCATAATGGTTTTTAAAGATTGATCAGAATTTTAAGACCCCCTTTCTTTTTTTCAATAATGTTCCCTTTCCCAAACTCTGAATTCTGTTAGTATTTTTCTTTTTATGATGGAGCTTGAAGTGCACTAGGGCCGATCTCTTTCCCTTTCTTTTCTCTTCCTGATGAATATACCACCACTGATTGGAAAATTATTTGTCTGCTTGCTCTGAGCTTCACATTTGTAATCGTCTACTCTTGCTAGCCATTCCTCTTATCCTCTAGGGGTCTTGGGCATAGAGGGTGTGTGCATGGAACTTTCTCCAGTGTAACTAGATTCATACCTGGACCTACAAAAGAATACATGAGAGTGTCAGTGGTGTGTGTGTGTGTGTGTGTGTGTGTGTGTGTGTGTGTGAAGGGGAGGATGGAGGTATAGACAGAAGATAGGAAAAGTCAGAGGGAGACTTAAAGAACATGAGTTTTATGGTCTCTGAAAATGTCTTCGACATTCTTTCCCAGGTTGACTTTGGATTTGCTAAGAAAATAGGATCTGGACAGAAAACGTGGACGTTCTGTGGAACTCCAGAGTATGTAGCTCCTGAAGTCATTCTCAACAAAGGACATGACTTCAGTGTGGATTTTTGGTCCCTGGGAATTCTAGTGTATGAGCTCCTCACTGGCAAGTAAGTACATTCAAGTTCACAGAAGTGCCAAAATAGTTTACTAATGATAAAAATATATAAGAATTTAACATTTTATAAATGTTTTTGATTCGATGTGATGACTCTCCCCGTATGTATGTTTTACATGTAGCATGCTTGCTGGTTTGTAACGTGGAGAACACATTCAGGAAGGTACGAGAAAAGGAATACAGAATTTCTATGGTCTACCTAAAATGGCAAGGCCTCTTTTCATGGATAACATACTAAGGGTGTGAAGATTTTGGTAATCCTGTTTTAAGAATAAGAAAAGGAATTTCAGTTGCGGGCTGTTATTATTTCCTCTTGTATATATTTTTTGCAGTTGAGAAAATAGTAATCATATTTCAATTAAATCTGTTAAAGAATGAAACTGCCTTTAGCCATGCTTTTCCATCTTCCCAATAAATCATTAACGAGAAAAGCTAAGAGAAAGGAAAATTACTGGATTTAAATTTTAATCTCCTTGTCATCTGCTTTCTAGAGGTGCTAATGAACAGACACCAGACACAGCAGGAAGTTTAGCAGTGAAAATTGAATTATCGTTCCTGGAGGGATTAAAGGGCTATGTTAATGAATCCAAGATCCCAAATATTCAACACACATGCACACGTACACATACGTGCGCATGCATTTATACCCACACGTGCACACACACATATATAGGCTTTATGTAATATTACTTCATGTTGTGAAACACTTTGCAAGTTTACAAAGCACTTACATGTGTGTTATCTAGTTTTGCTTTCATAAATCTATGTGGAAGTTAAAGAAAGAATTTTTATTATTTTATAATTTAAATCTTTATTATGATTATCTTATGATTTAAATTTTATGGATTAGAAAGCCAGGACCGATGGCTGCCTGCTTAATATCAGGGATTTGATCCCAGATCTTCTAACCCTAAATGTGACACACTTTCCATTCCATGCCCATGCCTTATACATATGTGTTTCTATTTTTTTAATGTCTGTTTTTGAGAGAGAGAGAGAGCATGTGCATGGGGTAGGGGTAGGGGCAGAGAGAGAGGGGGAGGGGACAGAGGATCTGAAGTGGGCTCTGTGCTGACAGCAACCAGTCTGATGCAGGGCTGGAACTCACGAACTGAATGGTGAGATCTTGACCTGAGCCGAAGTTGGACATTTAATGGACTGAGCCACCTAGGTGCCTCCATATGTGTTTTTAATGTAATGCATGGACATACACACAGGATTCAGTTCAGTTTTCTG